AAAGAGTTCCAATCCTAAATATTTATTTTGTTTGCGGTATTTATTTATGGTGCATTTCTCCTTTGCGCGCGACCTCCTCCGATTTTCCTCTGTTTGGACTCATTGAAGAACGCCGTCTGATTATTGACTTCCTTAGGAGCCCAGGAAGCTTAGGGCCAGTCGTCCACATCACACCAGAAGAATTTAAAAACGCAACAATCACCGGTCGTTCTATACTTTTGTTTGAGGAAATCTCGGCCAGAGAAATCACGTGGTTCTCCTCATCCTATCCTGTTCGAAAAGGTCCGTTTTAAATTGTTGTCGGTCCACACGAAAACTCAATGCCGGCGCTTTCAAATTCCTCCGGTTTGAAGAGCGGTTACCAAAAGCTCCGTTTTCGTGACTGATTGCTCCGGATCGTAGGCCTAACCGTAGAAATAAAGCTGTATGCGTTTTTAAATTCCTCCGGCGTACTGTGAACGGAGTCTGAAGCAAACCACGACGTCAATGAGCACCACCAAACAAAAGCTTTAATAATGAACAAAACAAAGGCTGTACAAGTGTGTGCAGTAAACCTTTGTACATTTGCTAATATACTGCAAAACAACAACGCAATGTGACGGCGAACGCGAACGATGAGTCGAACTGCTAATTTTTCGTATTTCCATTTAGAATTTAACGCTGTCATTACACATTTAACCTGAGCGAAGTCTTAGAGCCATAGGCATCCTGGAAAAATTCAATTTTGCAAGGCGTTGTCCTCGGCGTCGCCGTTGTCATTGTTAAGATTCCTATATTTGCATCTCCGATACTGAAAGGTCGATACACTTGTTTAACGTGGGGTCTGTCATCCTAAGTGGCTGCTTTGTGCTTTGCTCATGTTTTATTCCAAGACCAGTCGAACGCAGATGAGAGTATCGCGTAAAAACCGTAAAAAGTCACATAAATTGCAGCTCTTTGCCAAGGTTTTCTTTAATTCAGCCATTAAGTTGTCGAGCGTTTCGGTAGGAAATTTTTCCCTCCTGCTGAAACAATCTCGTTCACGTTACTCCGCCGATGCCATACCTTTTTATCTTCCCCACTGCACGGCAATCGTTTACATCTTCCTCTTCAGTATAGAGACTTTGAACACTTAAACGCCATCGTCATCAATAGCGTCCTTGAACATGGCGGGTTGATACTTTGACCCACTCCAAACCAAGTAATTATTACAGTACTTCTCCTTCCATAGCTTCCAGTTCTCGGAGATCTCGCTACTTAATTGACCTCAAATCTAAATGTTGCGGAGACAATGATATCTGGTGAAATAACATTGAAAATTGTGATGCTTTAGGCGGCGAGGCACCGAAAGTTGCTTTCGCTCGTAGGCATTCGTAGACGGTGTCGACGAATTTGAACTACCCTTTCGCTGCAACATGCAATATTAGATGGCAGAGAGAACCTTAAACGAACGTCATCAATGCAATCAATGCTTAATATGGCTACTGTAACTCAAGATACACAAGGTGAACGCGTATTTTAATATATAACTGCGTGTACAGCATAAATTACAAAGCCGTTACAGAGCGTAAGCGTGCATATAAAGAATGTTTGGCAAATTAGCATATTATAACCTTAAATTAAGGTATGTCCGCCATTTTGAATAATCAAATCCAGCCGGTGTCAGAAACTCGTTTGTCCAGTTTGGCCATGACGTCAGTACTTTCTCATTGGCTCACAACCAAGTCTTTTGTTCTTTTGCTTTATAAGTGAGACACCACCCGGATGGTTGGGCGGCCAGTTACCTCCATCGCAATATACACATCTCTCCTGATCTGTCTTAAAACGATACCCCCTGGATATATAATCAAGTATACCTCCTCAGCCATGCCTCCAATATCCCCTCACGGCCTACATTTCATTAATCCCCTACATATACCTACACATCCTAAAACTCATTAATCCCCACATGTACATACCCAGCCTACCTCTCATTAATCCCCTACATATACCTACACAGCAATACATCTCACTAATCCCCTACATATACCTGCACAGCCTACTTCCCATTAATCCCCCACATATACCTACGTAGCCTACAACTCATTAATCCCCACGTTTACCTACACAGCCTACATCTCATTAATCCCTCACATATCACTACACCGCATACATGTCATTAATCCCCTAAATACACCTACACAGCCTACTTCTCATTAATCCCCCACATATACCTACGTAGCCTACAACTCATTAATCCCCACGTTTACCTACACAGCCTACATCTCATTAATCCCTCACATATCACTACACCGCATACATGTCATTAATCCCCTAAATACACCTACACAGCCTACTTCTCATTAATCCCCCAAATATACCTTCACAGACTATATCTCATTAATCCCCCACATATATGTGCACAGCCTACATCTCATTAATCCCCCACATATACCTCCACATCCTACGTCTCAGTAATCCCCCACATATACCTACACAGCCTACATCTCATTAATCCCCCACATATACCTACACAGCCTAAATCTCATTAATCCCCCACATATACCTACACAGCCTACGTCTCAGTAATCCCCCACATATAGCTACACAGCCTACTTCTCATTAATCCCCTACATATAACTATACAGCCTACATCTCATCAATCCCCCACATATACCTACACAGCTTACATCGTATTAATTCCCAGCATATACCTACCCAGCCCACATCTTATGAATCTCTAACATTTACCTTCACAGTATGCATTTCATTAAATCGTTTCTTGTGTCATTACTCGTCATATTCAGTGGTTATCAACTCATGTAGATATCTTGGAACAAGTAAATGAGCTATTGCTATTCAAATTATCCATTCACTTGAAGCCTGTGAAAAGGCTCCCGGTTGGGTTAATGAGTTTAGTGCGAGCTAGCCAAGTGTGGTCTAGGGCGAGCGGAGAGAGCCAAGAGCGGAATGGTGAAGAGGGTAGTGCATTTCGCGGAATTCTTTTCTTCGCGTTTAACGGCTCGCTTCGCTCGTCGGATATTTTTGTACGCCCTCGCTTAGAACCTGTTCGCAGACTAGTTCACTTGCCGTGCGGTTAGCCGTTCGAACGGATACCGTAAGGAATGTTTTCGCTTGAGAGCCTACATATTTGCCGATGCATTTTTGTCGTTGAATCGACAAAGTTCCTCTTTTAACGACGCTTTTATAATTTAGGTTCGAGAAAGCGAAATTGGCGACGGACTTCCTTCTTTTTATGTGACGCGTGATTGGTGAAATAATTCTCCGTGATGCGTGATTTAATAGAAAAAGTCAGCGTAATGCGTGGTTGGCACCCCACCACCCTCTTGTAAAACGTATTGTTTAATCTCCGACCCGTTTTGTGTAACTAGCCCAGACTTCTTCAGGGAGTTTTAAAAACGTACACTAAACAGGTACACCTGTAATACTAGCGGTTATTTCAAAGGTCGACACAAAGCGCAAAGGTTTGGCTGGTTTTACAAATCAAAGCTGTAAAATATTTAATAAGCTTGCTGCTTTGTAGCGGAGGGGCGTACTTTCCAGTTTTTGTATATACAGTCGTGTTTCATTTAGATGGATAAGAGCTATTTCGCAAGAGCGGGTTAAAATCTTGGTCAGAGGCGACATCAGCTGCAGAGGATAAGACAGCCCGGAGGGAGAGAGGCGACAGCTCAATTCTCCACTAGAAGAACGGAAAAATGATGAACTACGTTCGGCCAACGCCCTGTCCGGATACAGTGCCAATGCTCAGACTAAACAGTAAAAAGGGTTAGGTTGTCTGGAAACGTGACCGAATTAACAAGAGAGGATGAGGAGTAAGAGGGTTAATCTCCCAGATAGACTTTATTTTCAAGGTAATCATTCTTAAGTTAATTTTAGACATGATACTCGTTTCTTCCGCCAATAATTTGAACACTTGCGTTGAATGGTTTCGCAGACTTAAATTCCCATGTACTGGTGCATTGACGAGGCTCGGAAAAAACTCCGTCCTCCAGTCAAGAAAAGATGAAGGGTGAGAGATTTTTTAAAATCCGCCATCAGTACTTGTTTCGGAAATAACCAATCCTTTTGACGCGTAGCTTACTCACATGGACAGCGTAAGCGGCTTTACATGTATGGAAATTGCTTGTTTAAACATGTGAGCAAAATTAAGCAATGTTTGAAGGATTTAATTCAATACTCGACAAGTCTGAATTCCATAAAGTTTGATCGTGTTGTTTGCTTACGACTTCCTTAAAACACAAAATATATGTTGAAGGTACTCTAAGTTTCCCCTTTTTGTCTTTTAATATCACACTGCGACTACGAACAATTGCTTATTTCGTCATAAGGATACAAGCTACTTTGAACAGTGGATACAGCTGTTTCGACAAAGGATGTCCCACAAAAATGCAAATTAAAAGTGTATGCGACAAAGCCGACTGGTATTATGAGTAGTAATAGTTTGGTGCTGTTTGAGTGAGCTTCAGGGTGTTTAGCTAGAAGGAAAGAGAAGGCATGAATACACGTGTGTGTGCTGTTTCCTTCTCTGAACGTTGAAATACCTTGATCTTCAATCCAGCAACTGTATAACCAACGTTGCCCTTAATAACTTTCGACATTATTGAGTTCGCTGTTACGCCTTTGTAAGGGAACCTTTCTCGAAGCAGCTGCATGTATACACCGAATTGCAATAACGTTGCGATAGAAAAACGAATTATGGATACAATTTTTGATCTTAATTATTCTCTCGTGCTCCAAGGTACAAAGGCAAGTATTGGACTTTTCTTTCTCATGGTATAATTTTCGCGGGTAACAGTGTCTCTGAGACGGTGATACTGAAAGAATAGCGGCATTTTTCATCATTGCCAGACTCACGATCTGGTTTGTAAATATCTGAATAAAACTTTAAAACAGTAGTTTCTTCTCCTGACATTGAATGGTTTTTCTTCATAAATACTGAATTCAATTCTCGAAGAGCAGTATTTTTTGGCGGTACTCTCCACAGGTCTCAGGAAGAAACATCTGTTTTTTTTCATGAATTTTTCTTTAACAAGAGGGTCTCAATAGGGTGGTAATTTTTTATGGCTAGCGGTTTGGCCTTTTACGGTTCACTTATTTTTTTTTACGGTGAACAGAAATCTTAGAAATTAATTACCATTCTTTTAAAAAGTGGAAAACTAATTTTCATTGCTCAAAAATGTTAAACATTTATTGTGATCACTGTAAAACATATTTAAGGACCATTCTAGGGATGGAAAAAGGTATTGTTATAAGAATTGTTGCCACATATTAAGTCTCCCAGCTTTTCCTTGTACCACCAAGCCAAAAGATAAGACACAGAAAAGTCGTGACAAGACATCTTGAGATTTACACTTTCGTAGCTAACAGTTTTTTACAGTGTACATTTTTTACTGCTAAAATATCTTCCACTTTTTATGCCTAATTTAACGGCTAAATTTTTGCCTCGTTTTACAGCTAACGGTTAACCCCATTGAGACCTCTGACAACGTTATTGCAATTAGGTGTAAACACACTGAGGTACATTTTGTTGTATGGACTTCAGTAAAAGGATCCAAGTTCTGTCAGTATCCACAGGTTATTCATTCATTCTGCGAAAAAGAAGCAAAGTGTTAAGTCTGCGACGCTAATTTAATGGAACTTGCCCATAAGGATCAAAGACGACCATTGTCTTTTCCGAATCTAGATGTAGTAGTCTTTCTTGATCGCTTCTTTAAAAGAGTTAGGCTGGAAATTTCCGGAGGAGGGGGAGGAAAATATACTGGGCAGTCAGTCCTAATAGAGTATGAGTGTTTTCTTTCTATGCCGTTGCATGAAAAGGAAAAAGAATGCTGAAGAGATTAAAATATATGGGTTATTGACTAATTGTGAGGACATTTCTGGATATGTACATGTCCTCACTTCAGGATTTAAAGGATCCGCATCTGTTACCACTTAACATGAATTTACCTTTCCGGGAAACGATACACTTGATTGGCCCAGGGTCCTCCTTTACCATCGCTTTTACAATCTTGTGATTCACCGTATTTGTTGTATGTTTCATGAGCGCTGGCACTGGTAACACACATACCGCCATCTTGAATCCCAAACATCTTGTACCCTTTTAGCTTTGCAAATACAGCGCATTTTTGGATTGCTTGTTGTCGTGTTTTGTAATCATAGTACAGAAGGGATCCACTTGGAAAATCGAAAAGATATTCTCCATCCACGCTCTCAATAGCTCGTTCACTTGAGTCTTTGAAGCATCCAACAGACTCGTACTCCATATATGGTAGCAGGACTGCAAGACAGAAAACAAATCAGCCATTAATTTCGAGTGTATACTATCTCTGGCAGATGAATCATTAAATGAAATTTCAGTAATAATAATTGTGGCTCATGGAAACGTGCACTTTTCCAATGGAAATTACGAACCAAGGAGCTCAAAGCTTGTGGATGAAAATGCGAAATACTGAGTTGAATTTGAAAGGAGCTACAGTTATTTACGGCTTGCAGCCGCTTGCAGCNTCGCTTAGAACCTGTTCGCAGACTAGTTCACTTGCCGTGCGGTTAGCCGTTCGAACGGATACCGTAAGGAATGTTTTCGCTTGAGAGCCTACATATTTGCCGATGCATTTTTGTCGTTGAATCGACAAAGTTCCTCTTTTAACGACGCTTTTATAATTTAGGTTCGAGAAAGCGAAATTGGCGACGGACTTCCTTCTTTTTATGTGACGCGTGATTGGTGAAATAATTCTCCGTGATGCGTGATTTAATAGAAAAAGTCAGCGTAATGCGTGGTTGGCACCCCACCACCCTCTTGTAAAACGTATTGTTTAATCTCCGACCCGTTTTGTGTAACTAGCCCAGACTTCTTCAGGGAGTTTTAAAAACGTACACTAAACAGGTACACCTGTAATACTAGCGGTTATTTCAAAGGTCGACACAAAGCGCAAAGGTTTGGCTGGTTTTACAAATCAAAGCTGTAAAATATTTAATAAGCTTGCTGCTTTGTAGCGGAGGGGCGTACTTTCCAGTTTTTGTATATACAGTCGTGTTTCATTTAGATGGATAAGAGCTATTTCGCAAGAGCGGGTTAAAATCTTGGTCAGAGGCGACATCAGCTGCAGAGGATAAGACAGCCCGGAGGGAGAGAGGCGACAGCTCAATTCTCCACTAGAAGAACGGAAAAATGATGAACTACGTTCGGCCAACGCCCTGTCCGGATACAGTGCCAATGCTCAGACTAAACAGTAAAAAGGGTTAGGTTGTCTGGAAACGTGACCGAATTAACAAGAGAGGATGAGGAGTAAGAGGGTTAATCTCCCAGATAGACTTTATTTTCAAGGTAATCATTCTTAAGTTAATTTTAGACATGATACTCGTTTCTTCCGCCAATAATTTGAACACTTGCGTTGAATGGTTTCGCAGACTTAAATTCCCATGTACTGGTGCATTGACGAGGCTCGGAAAAAACTCCGTCCTCCAGTCAAGAAAAGATGAAGGGTGAGAGATTTTTTAAAATCCGCCATCAGTACTTGTTTCGGAAATAACCAATCCTTTTGACGCGTAGCTTACTCACATGGACAGCGTAAGCGGCTTTACATGTATGGAAATTGCTTGTTTAAACATGTGAGCAAAATTAAGCAATGTTTGAAGGATTTAATTCAATACTCGACAAGTCTGAATTCCATAAAGTTTGATCGTGTTGTTTGCTTACGACTTCCTTAAAACACAAAATATATGTTGAAGGTACTCTAAGTTTCCCCTTTTTGTCTTTTAATATCACACTGCGACTACGAACAATTGCTTATTTCGTCATAAGGATACAAGCTACTTTGAACAGTGGATACAGCTGTTTCGACAAAGGATGTCCCACAAAAATGCAAATTAAAAGTGTATGCGACAAAGCCGACTGGTATTATGAGTAGTAATAGTTTGGTGCTGTTTGAGTGAGCTTCAGGGTGTTTAGCTAGAAGGAAAGAGAAGGCATGAATACACGTGTGTGTGCTGTTTCCTTCTCTGAACGTTGAAATACCTTGATCTTCAATCCAGCAACTGTATAACCAACGTTGCCCTTAATAACTTTCGACATTATTGAGTTCGCTGTTACGCCTTTGTAAGGGAACCTTTCTCGAAGCAGCTGCATGTATACACCGAATTGCAATAACGTTGCGATAGAAAAACGAATTATGGATACAATTTTTGATCTTAATTATTCTCTCGTGCTCCAAGGTACAAAGGCAAGTATTGGACTTTTCTTTCTCATGGTATAATTTTCGCGGGTAACAGTGTCTCTGAGACGGTGATACTGAAAGAATAGCGGCATTTTTCATCATTGCCAGACTCACGATCTGGTTTGTAAATATCTGAATAAAACTTTAAAACAGTAGTTTCTTCTCCTGACATTGAATGGTTTTTCTTCATAAATACTGAATTCAATTCTCGAAGAGCAGTATTTTTTGGCGGTACTCTCCACAGGTCTCAGGAAGAAACATCTGTTTTTTTTCATGAATTTTTCTTTAACAAGAGGGTCTCAATAGGGTGGTAATTTTTTATGGCTAGCGGTTTGGCCTTTTACGGTTCACTTATTTTTTTTTACGGTGAACAGAAATCTTAGAAATTAATTACCATTCTTTTAAAAAGTGGAAAACTAATTTTCATTGCTCAAAAATGTTAAACATTTATTGTGATCACTGTAAAACATATTTAAGGACCATTCTAGGGATGGAAAAAGGTATTGTTATAAGAATTGTTGCCACATATTAAGTCTCCCAGCTTTTCCTTGTACCACCAAGCCAAAAGATAAGACACAGAAAAGTCGTGACAAGACATCTTGAGATTTACACTTTCGTAGCTAACAGTTTTTTACAGTGTACATTTTTTACTGCTAAAATATCTTCCACTTTTTATGCCTAATTTAACGGCTAAATTTTTGCCTCGTTTTACAGCTAACGGTTAACCCCATTGAGACCTCTGACAACGTTATTGCAATTAGGTGTAAACACACTGAGGTACATTTTGTTGTATGGACTTCAGTAAAAGGATCCAAGTTCTGTCAGTATCCACAGGTTATTCATTCATTCTGCGAAAAAGAAGCAAAGTGTTAAGTCTGCGACGCTAATTTAATGGAACTTGCCCATAAGGATCAAAGACGACCATTGTCTTTTCCGAATCTAGATGTAGTAGTCTTTCTTGATCGCTTCTTTAAAAGAGTTAGGCTGGAAATTTCCGGGGGGGGGGGAGGACAATATACTGGGCAGTCAGTCCTAATAGAGTATGAGTGTTTTCTTTCTATGCCGTTGCATGAAAAGGAAAAAGAATGCTGAAGAGATTAAAATATATGGGTTATTGACTAATTGTGAGGACATTTCTGGATATGTACATGTCCTCACTTCAGGATTTAAAGGATCCGCATCTGTTACCACTTAACATGAATTTACCTTTCCGGGAAACGATACACTTGATTGGCCCAGGGTCCTCCTTTACCATCGCTTTTACAATCTTGTGATTCACCGTATTTGTTGTATGTTTCATGAGCGCTGGCACTGGTAACACACATACCGCCATCTTGAATCCCAAACATCTTGTACCCTTTTAGCTTTGCAAATACAGCGCATTTTTGGATTGCTTGTTGTCGTGTTTTGTAATCATAGTACAGAAGGGATCCACTTGGAAAATCGAAAAGATATTCTCCATCCACGCTCTCAATAGCTCGTTCACTTGAGTCTTTGAAGCATCCAACAGACTCGTACTCCATATATGGTAGCAGGACTGCAAGACAGAAAACAAATCAGCCATTAATTTCGAGTGTATACTATCTCTGGCAGATGAATCATTAAATGAAATTTCAGTAATAATAATTGTGGCTCATGGAAACGTGCACTTTTCCAATGGAAATTACGAACCAAGGAGCTCAAAGCTTGTGGATGAAAATGCGAAATACTGAGTTGAATTTGAAAGGAGCTACAGTTATTTACGGCTTGCAGCCGCTTGCAGCCGCTTGCAGCAAGATTGCCCGAACTAACGTAAAAGATAGAAAGAATAAACTGCCCCCACTGGTTCTACTCCGAGCACAGAAGAGAATATCAGAGCAAGCTTTGAACTGACCACTCGTCGGTTCACTTTGCTGAGATGACCGGAGAACGAGTGTTACTGCACTGCATGTAAGCGTTGTTTGAGCAATTGAGCATTTTTACAAAAATAAAGCTTCTCATCACAAGCAGAGACAACTCAGTTGTTTTTTTTTTTCTATCGCTGTTTACTTTTTAAGTATAATTTCCACTCCCTCGTTTAAGTTGCTTTCGTTTACAATTTTGCCTTAAAATTTAATCTTATAGAAGATTTTTCTATCTTGATTTAATCCAATAATTAGGTAGCTTTGACTTGAAACGTTCAACCTGGAAATAGCTATCCATAGTTATTCAAAATACAACCATCTATCATACCATCAACGCTGTCATAATGAAAATTATACACTTTGTTGTTAGCCCCCATTGCTAAGCACTCAGTCTCGCCGTGGCCAAACCTGGCAAAATTCTTTGCAGTATCGGCGCCACTGACGCACTGCCCATCGGACATAGTAACATACACTTTATGTTCCCGCTTCTGGGCTGCAAGAGCACACTTCCTAACGGCATCTTGTCTTGTAGTGTAGTCACCATCTAGCACACTGGGGTCCTGTCCTTCTAGGCTAGGGATGGCACGAGCTTGCGAGTCCTTGAAACATCCTAGCCTTCGCAAATCATAAGATGAAAACGTCGATAAAATGTCTGTGAATGACAAAAAACAATAGAAGTATTAATGTTGTAAAAAAAGAAATATCCCTGCGATGTTTTTTGTTTCGCCATGATGATGACAAGAAGTCGAAGACTTTATTTCGGTATTATTTTACTTCTTATTTAAAACAAACCTCTGAGAAATAAAGATGATGGATTACAAAAAATCAACAGGTCAGTTGTCAGTTTACAATATTGTTGTCACTGTACCTTCCATGGTTCCTGTCAGATTGTAAACCTGATTAGCCCCGGCGCCCCCTTTTCCGTCATTTTTACAATCCTGTAATTTACCGTACTTGCCATACACCTTGTGTGCACTGGGGCTACCAACACACATGCCGCCATCTTGAATTGCAAACATTTTATATCCCCGTGTCAAGGCTGCCACAGCGCACTTTTGAATAGCATGATTTCTCTGTGAATAGCTATCTTTGAGAAGAACGTCGCTTCCTTCCATGGATGGAATAGCTCTTACACCATTGTCTTTGTCTTTGTAACAGCCAAGTGATTCGTACTTAACAAAGGACAGAAAATCTGAAGACAAGGGTATGAATGTAGTATTAGTACAGATTAGCTCGCATATATAAATTCATGCCATAACGAAAGAAGCAGTGCATTATTAAAGCCAAAAGGTTTTTTCCATTCAACCAAACATTCCGCCTTGATTTTTTCTCGGAAATTACCAGTAGTGAATGAAGCAGCATTTTCAACAATTTCCAAAAAAGAGGGCAACCTCACAAGCTCCAAATTGTCGAAAATGTCTTAAGAGAATAACTGTTCCGTGTTATTTCTACCCTAGAATTTCTGGAATGTTTGGTTGAATGGTTCGCATTTCGAAAATTAAACAGTCTTCTGAAATTCCGGAAACTTTCTAAGCAATTTTCCAAATCGTTTTTCAACTGTTTCCAAAGCCGCGGATGTTTTTTCGCTGAGTGGAAAGAGCCCGAGGTATGAATGTGCTGTCAACAATAATTTTCCGTCGCTTTCTTATATCTCTAATCAGTCAAGTTTTGTAATAGATAGACTTAGCCAAACCTAAAAGCAGAGCTAATAGGCCGAGTTGTTCAATTAAGGGAGGGGAGCGGGGGGAGGGGGGGGGGGGGGGGGGGGGGGGGATGTGAAATTCTACGTGAAATTTTCGTAAAAATTTGGATTTTTGCGTTAATTTACCGGAATTTAAATCTTAAGGTTATGAAGTTTCATTTTAAGAATCATTTCTCCCTGTAAGTTCAAAGCTCGTTTTCTCAAAACGTGTTATTTTTGCCTTCGAGGAAAGCTACCTAAAGGAGGATTTAAGCTTTTGACCTCAAATTTTCAAGATGGCTAGGTTTCAATGAGTTAATTGTTATGAATGAGAGAATTTGCTAAAGATCGAGTTCTTAGGATAGAAGTTATCAAAATAAATGTTCCACAATTTAGATTGCGCAACTTTAGATGGTTGTCAGAGCTCCACATTTTCAAATTTTGCAAAAACCCTCATTCATTATAGCTGGACATTTGATTACTTTAGAATACAAATAGAAAGACATTATTTGCTTTAATACTTAAAAATCGATCTTACGTAGGGGTCATGCGCAGCATGTGATTCTTTGAGAGCCCTGTGTCGTATTACAATAACTGACACAGCATTGAAATCATTTTTGTAATTTACAAGCAATTAGCTTTTCATTGATACATAGGGTATCAATTTTTAGGGTTTTGACGAAACTGTCAGGGTTGTGACAATTAAGTGTTTTGTTTTCGGGCCGTAGGTCTTTTTAGATGCAATATGCTGCTCATTTTAAGCATGGTTTGGTCATGTATTTTGTGCGGGACAGTTTTTGTCTGTCTGCAATCTCCTTATCGCAAAAACCACATCATATTCTGGATTCTTGGCTATTGTCCGTTGTCACGCGTTTTGCATGTGACATTGGCCAATCCGCAGACATTTAGATTTGAGTTTGATTTACACTAAAACTCGATAGAAACACGGCACATGTTTTCTAATTCTTCAATAGAAATCTCTAGAAATGCGCGCAAGAAGATTTGTCATAATTCAAACTGTTTAAGTTAATTCTTAATTTGGATCACAGTGTCCAAATTAACAAATGATTTGGACAGCTCCGTGCGCAATATAGTAAACAGGTGATATGACTATATTCTCAGACCAATTTGAAAATAATTAAATTCAAAGAATTTTCATGTAGCTAATCCTATAACTAATCCACCTTCTTCCCATTTTAAAGCGTGCACTTCAGTGGCCCAAGGTCCTCCTTTTCCATCACTTTTGCAATCTCGGGAGATTCCATATTTGTTAAAGTCTTTCATCGTTGGACTACCAACACACATACCACCATCTTGAATACCCACGATTGCATATCCACGACCTCTTCCAACCAGAAGGCATTTCCTGTCAGCGTCTTTTCTTGTGGTATAGTTGCCGTCAAGAAGGTAGTCTTTTCCTTCAAGGATTTCCATGGCTCGCACAGGTAGGTCTTTGTAGCATCCCATATGAGCTCCGTCTTCAGTTCGATCTGTTAGAGCTGAAATGCAAAACATATTGGAACAATGAACGCTGGGTGTTACACGCATGTGCATCGACTATAAAACTTTTTAAAACTTTTTTTGCTACAAATTTGAAGCTCTTTCGGTGAGGCCTAATTTTGGTGAGCTGATGTGGTGCCAGAGGCTGAAATAGTCTCTGGTACCAGGGTTTTAGGGTTGTGTGAGACCTAATTGACACCATGGGGCTAAAACATGAGATCTTCTTAATTTAGAGTGTGGTTTATCCGGATTTAAACAAAGAGCAGCTTTAATCACGCAACGCTAAAATGTAATTTTCTTTCATGAGCTCTA